TAAAGGATTTTACTTCTCCATCACTTGTGAAGCTAATTTTGGTTAGATATGAAATTCTGGGTTGAAAATTCTTTTCTTTAGGAATGTTGAATATTGCTCCCCACTTTCTTCTGTTTTGTAGGGTTTTTGCTGAGAGATCCACTGTTAGTCTGATGGGCTTCCCTTTGTGGGTGACCCAATCTTTCTCTCTGGCTGCCCTTAACATTTTTTCCTTCATTTCAACCTTGGTGAATCTGATGATTATGTATCTTGGGATTGCTCTTCTCAAGCAATCTCTTTGTGGTGTTCTCTGTATTTCCTGAATTTGAATGTTAGCTTACCTTGTTAGATTGGGGAGGTTCTCCTGGATAATATCCTGAAGAGTGTTTTCCAACTTGGTTCTATTCTCCCTGTCACTTTCAGGTACACCAATCAAACATAGATTGGTCTTTACACACAGTCCCAAATTCCTTGGAGGCTTTGTTCATTTTTTTCATTCTTTTTTCTCTAATCTTGTCTTCTCACTTTATTTCATTAAGTTGATCTTCAATCTCTGATATCCTTTCCTCTGCTTGATCAATTCAGCTATTAATACTTATGTATGCTTCACAGAGGTCTCGTGCTGTGTTTTTCAGCTCCATCAGGTCATTTATGTTCCTCTCTACACTGGTTATTCCAGTTAGCAATTCATTTAACCTTTTTTCAAGGTTCTTAGCTTCCTTGCATTGGGTTAGAACATGCTCCTTTAGCTCAGAGGAGTTTGTTATTATCCACCTCCTGAAGCCTACTTCTGTCAATGTGTCAAACTCGTTCTCTGTCCAGTTTTGTTCCCCTGCTGGTGAGGAGTTGTGATCTTCTGGAGGAGGAGAGGCATTCTAGTTTTTGGAGTTTTCAGTCTTTTGCTCTGGTTTCTCCCATCTTCGTGGATTTATCTACCTTTGGTCTTTGACATTGGTGACCTTCAAACGGAGTCTTTGAGTGGATGTCCTTTTTGTTGCTGCTGCTGCTATTCCTTTCTGTTTGTTAGTTTTCCTTCTAACAGTCAGGCCCATCTTTTGCAGGTCTGCTGGAGTTTGCTGGAGGTCCACTCCAGACTCTGTTTGCCTGGGTATCACCAGCAGAGGCTGCAGAACAGCAAAGATTTCTGCCTGTTCCTTCCTCTGGAAGCTTCATCCCAGAGGAGCAGCCACCGAATACCAGCAAGAGCTCTCCTGTATGAGGTGTCTGTCGACCCCTACTGGGAAGTGTCTCCTAGTCAGGATACATGGGGGTCAAGGACCCACTTGAAGAGGCAGCCTATCCCTTATCAGAGCTCGAATGCTGTGCTGGGAGATCTGCTGTTATCTTAAGAGCTGTCAGGCAGGGATATTTAAGTCTGCTGAAGCTGTGCCCACAGCTGCCCCTTCCCCCAGGTGCTCTGTCCCAGGGAGATGGGGGATTTTATCTATAAGTCCCTGACTGGGGCTGCTGCCTTTTTTTTCAATGATGCCCTGCCTAGAGAGGCAGTCTGCCTGCGGGGGCCTTGCTGAGCTGCAGTGGGCTCTGCCAAGTTCCAAGTTCCTGGTGGCTTTGTTTATATTGTGAGGGTAAAATCCCCTATTTAAGCCTCAGCAATGATGAATGCCACCCCCCCACCACTACCACCCCACAAGCTCGAGCATCCCGTGTCAACCTCAGACTGCTGTGCTAGTAGCAAGAATTTCAAGCCAGTGGATCTTAGCTTGCTGGCCTCCATGGAGGTGGGACCCACCGAGCCATGCACCGGAGGTAATCTGGTCTTCCCATTATGAAGACCATGGGAAAAGTGCAGTATCTGGGCCAGAGTGCACTGTTCCTCCTGGTACAGTCTCTCATGGCTTCCCTTGACTAGGAATGAGAAATCCCCCGACCCCCTGTGGTTCCCAGGTGAGGTGACACCCAACCCTGCTTTCACTCACCCTCTGTGTGCTGTACCCACTGTCCAACCAGTCCCAGTGAGATGAAATGGGTACCTCAGTTGAAAATGCAGAAATCACCCGCTTTCTGCATCGTTCTTGCTGGGAGCTGCAGACTGGAGTTGATGCAGTTTCTCAGATATTCCATTTGTTTAGAAAGTAGAGAGTTAGCCAAACATCTCAGACACTAAAGCATGAGCTTCTTTACATGGTGTCCTATAGAAACTGGCATTTAAGTTAGAATTTGTACTCATGAAATTCTACTCTTCTCTGAATTCAAGTATGCAGGGTCAGAGAATTAATCCCCAGATTCTGAAAGAGCCTTACAGATAGAGTTGTTTCATAGAATCATTCCTAGTAACCTCTGCAAAATCATAAATAATGTATTTTAAGAAGCAGAATGTGAAGAAAGACACATGCCTTTATATAAGGAGTCATTTTTAGACTCGAGTACCTGGAATATGCCTGCTTCCATGAAAACAAATAAACAGTACTAATCTGATTTTATTTTTAATAATGTTATTAGAGTTAAAATTATTTAACTTTCTACATACACAGCTTACCTTGATTTTTTAAAAACACACAATATCCATGTAGGCAAGGAAAGGAAATACAAACTCTGGATTCCTACAAAGGTATTATCTTAGTAGAATATACTGTTAACCACAATGTATATAATGTACAATTACTAAAGGATCATGTTATCGTGCATTCATTCATTCAACAAATACATACTTACTGAGTCCTACTAAGTGCAAGGTACTATTCTAGGGCTTGTCTTAGACTGATAAAAAATCAGTCACAAATATCTGGCAGAACTCCATTGCTAGTTCACCCTGGGTTCTTTCTGATGGTAAAGGCTGCTTGCTTATTGATAGTTCTCTTTGGAAAGAGATCCCAGGAAACTAAAATGAAATGATGAAGAAGACAGAAACAGGGAAGGAAATAAATGCAATTCAAGGATGCATTATTGAGCTGGTTACCATGTGGCCTCTCTGAGGAACAGAGTAAAAAGCTTCTCCGAATGGTTTATCCTAGGCATGGGAGTGGGGAATTTTAGCCACTGGCTTCCATCTTCTATTGATCAAATATTGCCCAAGGGTGTATTGACTCCCTTGTACTTCCAGGTATACTGTAAACAACATGGCTGTGTGAACACTGTGACCACTGTGTTCCAGCCTGGGCAACTCTGTAATCAATTACATCCACCAGTATAGTAACTTGCTGTTTTACCTACCGGTTTGCTGATGGAAGAAACACAAAGCGATCACCTAGTGGTCATAGCTGTAAGTTTAGGGGAACCTTTACCATGTGCCCTGGTGGAAGCATTCCTCATCCCCCACCTTCCACCTTTGCCTTTCCTTCCTCTCAAGATCACTAACGAAGCAGAATCTGGAGTTGCAAAAATTCTAAATTCTGCATTTGTTTCACTGGGAGTTATGGTGAAAGGTCCAATTCTACTTTTACTCCTTAGTGGCCAGGACAGTGAATTTTAGCTATTGGGAATACAGCACTTTCTATTGACCATGGAGTCAATGTGTGTGTCCCACCCTGGAAAACAAAGCCCAACTTCTAAAGGTGTTAATCTTCAGCTGGCACTGTACTCTTCGATAGGGCATCTGAATCTTCTGTCAGTCTGACTGCTTCTAGGTCCTATGGCGTATGACAGGACTAGTGAAGACTTTGGTCATGTAACACATTGCCCCGCCTCCTTCACCATCAAGAAGAATTTGACCTGAGGTGATCTTATGTAGGATTCCATTGGACAGAGCCGAAGCTCTGTAAGTCTTCGCCCTGGCAGGGGGCAGGAATGCAACTCTACATCTGGGATACATGCAATTTTCTTTATAGAGTAATCAGTAGAAGCAGTGGCTAGATCAACCTTAGGAGGTCCATGCTTTGGATCTGTGCATAGACTCTATTCCTGACTTTGTGCTCATATATCCACTGTGCATAAGCTAGGTGGTTGAGGAGGTTGGCTGATATCCACAGAATAAGTCATCCTTCCTCCCTAGCTGTTGAGTGCTTCTTATGCAGCAGATGTTCTCCTATAGCATTTATGTGCCAGCAATCCTCCAAACCCTTTGTACTACTCCAATAGGTTCATAAACTTGCCTCAACACAAATTTCATTTTTAATCTCTTCTAGTCTTGCCACTACCAGGCTTCTGCCCATGAAGACAAGCCCAGCAGTTCCAGATACCTTTACCTCAGATTACTCTTCTTTGCAGCCAAGATGAATAACCAGGTTTGCTTGCATTTCTGCTCATTGAGAAGATGCTCCTTTACTCCCAGTCTTCAGGCAGGCCCTGGGTGGGGCTGGAGTGATGGCATAACAGTTTGTACTTGTACTAACCTATCAGCCAACTGATCTCGTGGACTAAGCTCAGGCTTTTCCCCTTCAGTTAGTTGATTGTAAATGGGCCCCTATGAGGCCATGGGTTCCAGCTGAGGTGAATTATCCTTCAGCGTGCTTTGTTCCTTGTTTCTACTCATATTTGGAATGGGCAATTTGCAAAGATAGAAAGGGAAAACATCATTTAGGTAGATACTGCAATAACTAAAGAGTTAAGTATCAAAATTTAAACTCATGACGTGATGGTAAGAAGTGAAAACATCGTCTCTAAGAAATATTGGGCAGATAAAATCAAATGCAACAATTCAAAAGAGGATGCTTTAATGTAAGGAGAAAAGCTGTGAATTTAACCTTAAATATACTAAGATGGAGGTGTGTACTCAACCACAAACCTGCACTCTATGTGCCCAGGATTATTCAAGGTATGTGTCAGGTTCTAACTGAGGTCCAATGGGAGTCAGTGGGTAAGTGGTGGGTAGCCGGAAAAACACTGGGGGAATCGTAGACAGTTTTGACATGGCTTTACTCTCCCTCTGGGCGTGAGCCGTATGTACAGCATCAGCAGGGCAGTTATACCTTTTACAGACAACAGTGGCGCTGAATTAAACACGAGCTCACGTGAGTGGTTACTAATGCGCCTCACGTGGCGTCGTTATATAATGAGTGGAGTTGTGTGAGTGAGCTCCAAACTCACTGAGTCATGCTGGACCGATGTCTGTTTCGGCCTATTCTTGACTACAGCACATCCATTTTCCTTTACAGCATGTAGTACGTTTTATACCTTTTTCTACAATGAATCCTCTACGCAGAAATTCCTGTACACATCTTATGAACAAAGAATTTGAGCTTCAACGAGTAAGTACTTTCTCCAGAGTGTAAGATTGTTAATGTCTGTGACATTCTTTGAAGTGAGGCAAGTAAATACCTCTGAACATGTTTTCTTTTCCTGCTCCTCTGTCTCCTACATTTTTCCTTCTTTTTTCCTCCTCTTCCTGTTATAGGACTAGCAAATTCACATGACCACTGTACAGTAACAGACCAGTTACACTGAGACAACAGAGTTTGCAGCAGAGAAAGAGTTTAATGCTCACAGGATACCAAGTGAGGAGATGGGAGGAGACCCTCCAGTTCATCTCCCCAAGGAGCATTTGGCTGGGGTTTTTAATGGGATCATGGAGGGTGAGAGGTTGAGATTGTTGACTGATTGGGGTAAGGGGGATAACATCATGAGGATGTGGAAACTGCATTCTTTGGTGAGTCAGCTTCTTGTGGGGTCCTTCAGACCAGCTGATGTCAGTAGTTTCACTGTTTTGCGGGGTTTGTAGGACTTGAAAGAATAGAACTTATGTTTTCCCTTTGAGGTATTTTAAGTTTTTATCTGTAGAGCAGTGAAGGGGAACTGTAATCTTGTAACAGGGTCTATGTGATTTGAAGGCAACAAGCAAACAACTATGAGGAATGGATCACAGAGCATCTAATGTAATGATTAATGCTGGGTGTGCTGCAAGCTTGCTTTATTTTCATTTCTCCCCATCCCTTCTTCCCTGATTGAATTGATAAAATTTATAGGAGCAGTTTCACTCCTGGTAACTATATCTTGGTCTTGAATTAGACTGTCAGTATAGACCGGAAATGTGCACTGCTCATAGTTGATGCTTCATACATATTTTTGGGGGAAAAAGTTCTTACAAATTACTCCTCCTGATCTCTGAAATTTTATTTTGAAATCACTTAAGTAAAACCTTTGAACATTGTTACTTACCAGCTGCAAAAGTTTAAAATGTGAAATTTACCTCAGTACAACCCCTCTTGAATGATTTAATTTTATACTCTAAAAGCAACATTTCATCCTATCTGTTTTTTGGCAAAAAGTAATTGAAGCCAATTATTCTTTTCTTTTTCATAATCCCACATGTACAGTTCTTAATTAAGCACAATTAAAATCAGCTTTTTCTGTCTTATTTTGTATTCTCATTCCATATGCTATATGTTCTTTATTTCTATTAAAAAGATGTACTTTTAATAAAAATAGATTTTTCTTCCTTTCTTATATTGCTATGATTTTATAGCTTCCAAATCCTTTCTTATTAGGTTCTGGTGCTGGTGATTATTAAGTTCTTCACACTTCTCTCATAGCGGAGCTTAAGGTAAGATAAAGGAAATGACAATTCCTAACCTTGCCTAGACTTGAGGAAGAGAGTCAGAATAATACTGGTAGAACTTGAGCTGGAATGACTCTAGATTTAAGCAAAATTTGTGTTTCTTTGGCCATTAATTCAGAATGAAGGATGAGTCTGTGTCAAGTGTGCCTCCTGAAGTCCTCTGAGATTGCCTATGTACTCACAGGCTCATTCCAGTCTGTGAAAATCCTTTTTTAAACCAGCCTGAAACCCAGGAGCCTCATAAAAAAGGGGAGAAAAATCAATGCAATTAGTTTTCATGTATACTTATGTCTTCCTTATGTTTGTTGATTCTGCATTTTAGTGTGATGTCAGGCATAATGCCTCCATCTTTGAGCAGGAAGTAATGGGTTACCGGTGGGCCTTGATGCTGACCTTTTGCCCTGGGAAGCTTGGCTCCAGCTGGAGCAGCTGAGGTTTCCAGACTGGTTACTTCTGCTCCATATCGCCTGCTCTATTTACCCTCAGTGAGCTATACAATCTATCACAGTTTTCTGTGTACACCATGATTTTAAAAGGATGGGAAGCACTGGTTTAAACTATGTGATAATGATGAGAAATGCCATCTACAGGTAGACCTGCTATAAGACAAGCCTATTGTATTCTTATTTAAAATACTTATTTATATCTGTGGCTCTTAAACTGTGTTGCATATTAAGTTCAACTGGGGAGCATTTAAAATTCTTTTTGTTTTGTTTTGTTTTGAGACGGAGTCTTGCTCTGTTGCCCAGGCTGGAGTGCAGTGGCACAATCTCGGCTCACTGCAACCTCCGCCTCCCAGGTTCAAGTGATTCTCCTACCTCAGCCTCCTAAGTAGCTGGGACTACAGGGGCACACCACCGTGCCCCTGTTAATAAAAAATAATAATTTTTGTATTTTTAGTAGAGATGGGGATTTCACCATGTTGGCCAAACTCTTCTTGAACTTCTGACCTCATAATCCCAAAGTGCTTCCACCACACTCGGCCAAGCATTTAAAACTCTTGATGCTCAGGCTGTAACCCAAAGAAATTGCATCTTAATTTCTGAGGGTGGGATCTATCTGGTGAAGTAGTGATTTGTAGTTTCTATTATGATTCTTAGTAGTAGAGGACAAATACAGAGTTCTCTGAAACAGTCTTGATTTCAACTATCCTTTTATAGTAAATCAATGTATTAAATGTGCAGCTAAATGTGCAAATTATATGTATCTAGATACAATTACTTTTTCACATAAAGGATTCACAAAACAGGAGCGAAAATTGTTGATTTAATATACCAAAGTAATATCCCGTCAACCAGAGTGGTAGATACAAAAAACCTTATGTAGTCACTTTAGTTTGTTTACTTTTGTTTTTGTTATGTGACAACTGAACAAAATGTAAAATGGTTTTTCTGTGTTACTTATTTCTTGTGCTGTTAATCAGGAAGGAAAAAGAAAGCACTGGTTTGACATGAGCTTGCACTGTGGGTGCTTTTATGCCTTGCTTTGGGAGAGCTATACGCACGGCAAGGAACCTGGGTGAAGATTTGATTAAAAGGATGGATAATTTTGTTCTTAGGCTGTGAACATCTGAACAGGATACATGGTAAAAAATAACTAAATAAAAAACTAAGTAGTTCTCTGGGAAGACTGAACCATGGGGAACAAATTTAGAGAACAGACGCCTGAAACTCTAGCAATTCTTTAGTATAAACTGTTTTGCTACGGTATTTAATGATTTTCTCTAACAGTGTATATCACTTAGGAATATAATCGCACTGAAGAATCTGTGATGATTATTTCAGTCATTAAAGGAAGATGATTTGTTTTGACCAAGTATTTTTAATTGTTTGACAAATCAACTTCAGTGGGTTCAAAACTTTCTGAATTTATGCAATAAAATTTTGTGTTAACATCTTTAGTGAATTTGTTTGGGGAAAGAGTTCATTGTTTTTCATTAGGTTCTCACAGAACTGTCTGACCTAATGGGATTAGACATCACTGTTTACTTGATCCAAAATATATCATACTGACTTACTAGACTGCAGATTACTACTTAAATTTAAGTCCCCAAGGGCTGAATTTGTTTGCACTTGCCTTTTATCTCATTCCCATATTTAGTAATATTTTAAATTGATATAATGTGTATATTATACATATTAGGAAACAAAAAATAAGAGTTGCTTTAGTTTTTTTTTTTTTTTTTTTTTTGAGACTGAGTCTCACTTTGTTGCCCAGGCTGGAGTGCAGTGGCACAATCTTGGCTCACTGCAACCTCCGTTTCCTGGGATTCTCCTACCTCAGCCTCCCAAGTAGCTGGGATTACAGGTGCCTGCCACCACACCTGGCTGATTTTTGTATTTTCAGTAGAGACAGGGTTTCACCATGTTGGCCAGGCTGGTCTTGAACTCCTGACCTCAAGTGATCCACCCGCCTCGGCCTCCCAAGGTGTTGGGATTATAGGTGTGAGCAACCACTCCCGGGACTTTAGTCATTTCTTTGACTTAATTTTGGTAGAGAAATGCTGAGGACCAGTCAATATTCACTCTGATAGCACTGTGCTACCAGAATCTCCTTTTGTGGCCTTTTGCAAAAGGAAGATGCAGCTGCAGATGCTGCATAATAACAAAAGGGAGAAAAATATCCACAAGCCCACTAAAGAAAAGCAAAAGGAAGGCTGCTGGAGACTGGAAGATGAAAAGCCAGAAACATCCTTGAACCATCTACTTCCATATTTTGACTTGCTGTTTTTATTCCTTTTCGTTGGAGACAGCTGTGTTCTCTCAATAGATGAGCAATTGTGTGGTGTTAATTTTAATTTAACCTGTGAATCATGGTGATTAGAAGATCTATAACCCAGGCATGCTAATTAAAGCACCCTTTGTGTGAGTTCTAAGAGTGGAGAAAAGCCTTCCTTCGATGTCTGTCAGATGGCCATGTTTTGTATGCCCTTGGCCTCATCTAGCAATCATGACATTACATTATGCTTTATCTTCTAGTACCAGTTTTACATCATGTTCCTGTCCATGTTAAGGCTTTTCAGAAACATAGACTGAGCTGGAGAAAATATATCTTAATGCATTGCCTTGTTGCTCTTTTGGAGGAACAAGAGGCTGTGTGCATGACAAACAACACTGTCTGCAACATACATGCCAAGGCTCATTTATTTAAAGATTTACCATTCATCATTGTCAGAGTTCCCGTGGGCATTACTGTCACTGTCTTATGTGCATTGTGAGTTCCTCCAAGTGTTCAGAAGAATAAATCCCACTGTGACTTAATGCAAGAGTAGGAAATATTTTGTTTGCTTTAATTTTCCCGAAATGGATTTCTTTGTTTTTTTTTTTTTAAAAAAAGATTACTGTAGACCACTGAAGTATGTAGATCATACTTTATGCCTATGTTTAGTGGTTTCTGATGTTTTATAGTTTTTATTCATTTTGTTTTATATTTCACCTCCCACCAGATATACACAGATCTTATACAGGGAATAAGTAACATTTCATCAACATTTCTTATTGACACTACAAATTTAAATCAACAAGATGTATGTCCATTTACAAACACTTCAAGGAGATGATCCACAAATCAGCAATTGATACTGAATTATTTACAGTGGATTTTTCATAAAACAACATCTGCTTTTCTTTGTACTTGGAAAATCTAGTTCATTTCCCAGAGATTTTTAACCTTTGGGAAAAAATCCACTGAGAA